GTCTTCGTCAGGAATTTTTTTGTTTTGCTGTTATCTTCCAAAGGTAAGTTATACTCTCCAGTAGTTATATGCCTCTTATGCGCAGCTGCTGTCAGTACGCATAATTATTGTGAAGTTTTCAGTTATGCGTCGTCCGCCTCGCCATCCATGTTGTCAGTGATGGAGTTCTCTTGAAGCAACCTCTGTATGTCTCATGACAACAATTTTTTCATGAATTTGAACTTGCGGACTTTGTTTTTGTCGGCAGCAAGAGATCTTTACACAGAAGCAACAGAAATTGTGGATGGTTACACAGAACGTAAGGTAGTTTACAGAGCGTTCTCCTGCGGCTGATTCTCTACGATGTAGATAAACAGCGGTAATACGGATCAGGATCAGTGTGGAGAGCGCCCTTCATTTTTGTACTCCAAGATCTACAGTGTTACTTATACAACCGTGTAGTTCCTGTGACGCTCGACTCATTATAGTGATATTTAGTTTGCATCACATTTTGGAGCTCACAAAGGGTTCGAGTTTTCGGCATCACTGGAATAAGGAGCGTAGTTTCGCTACCTTCCCATGTTATTAAAACATGTAGAACGTTGGTCAACGATAAACAGAACGTTGGAAGCAGCGATAATCATCTTGCTAGGACTGGTTGTAATTGTCGATCATGTTGTCCGATGCTGCTAGATGATATCTTTTTAATCATTATTGTTCGAAACAACATTTATAGCGGCTTTTTATCATTTATTTCAATGTCTGTACCTATACATGCTGTGAACCTTACGTCCTTGTCTTGGTCAAGTTGATATAGACTGATATTCAAGTGATTTGACTATTAGTGTCTGCCCTTATGTCATGTCCTTCTATGTCCTGTCATGCCCTTAACATCGAGTCGTTGATAAGTGCAAAATTTATTAATAGAATGTTCTTCTTCCATTGACAATCATCGGAATGATACTCGTATAAAAAAAACAAGACCAGAGTCACGGGATCACCCGGCTTACAACAGATGTAATATTAATAGTATAGCAACAACAACAAATCAGCCATCTTACACTTCGAGCCAACAACAAATCAACCATCTTAACAATCTGCGTAACAGCAAATCAATCATTTTAATAATTTGCGCAACAACAGCAAATCAACCATCCTAACACTGTGACGACCACGCGCGTTCCTTTTTTTTCGGTTACGTGGCATGTGCTTTTTTCGGACGTGTATTTGTGTAATGGACTGTAAAAAAGCGCGTTGCTGCCCGCTACGTTGGGCAGCACTTTTGTTTATTGACTCTGGACCCAGCTGTGCAGCTGTTTTCCCTCCCCTTATAGCCACTTGTTATCTTATCGAAGGCAATAATCGCTGCAATAAAGGCAATGCCTGCGCTTAGGCCTTACCATGTGACTGCATCCAAAACGCGAAGGCAGGGATCTCAAGCGCTCATGCCTACACCTGCACTATTATCGAAGACACAGCATACACACTGAACCACTAGCCCTCACAGATTGTCGTGTCATCAGAGTCAGTCTCAGTCGGCACATCGTGCTGACATAGCGGCGTCCCATCCGCCCCCCCCCCCTCCGGGACCCCTCAATTTGGCTAGCTGAGGTTGTTTAAGGCACATGGTCGCCAACGAATAATACAGAAATGAATACAAAACAATAAATCAGTTCTTCTCTTCTTCTTTTCTAATCTTTTTTACGCCTCGTTCCTTTTGACCGCCTCACCTCCTTTCTCTGAAAAACGAGTTCAGAAGAAACGTATAAAGCTTGAAGGTGGTAAAGAGTTTCAAAAAAGTCCGAACTACTGCATTCTTAACAAACCTTAGCGAGCCGATTTGGGGGGTCCTTCGGCGGGCGACCGGACGTCGCTATGTCAGGACGACGCGCCAAGCTGTGGCTGACTCTAATGGAACGGCCGGTGTAAAGCCAACTCTGCGGTGGTCAGTGCGTCCATGTCCTTCAATAGGTCAATCATCTTCCTTAAGTGGTCTTGAACTCGTATATGTTGTATTTTCGATAATGACACCAGCTTTGAACGCAGTCCAGCGTTTACCTAAAATAATTTTATAAACAGGTGATCAGACAAAACAGTGCAACACAACGAACTCACACATTCGAACTCTTGCAACATTTCTTTATTCTTGTCAAACACAGCAGTATCGTCTTCCTGCCCGTCCGACTGCTCAGGTATTAGAGCACCGTCGTCGCGGTTTTCAACGGTGTCAGTAACTATGGGAACTTCTTCGTCGAACAGCCCTGCAACGAGGTTACTAGCAATGAATCACACCAAACCAAGTAGATCTCACCTTCGCGCGCGTACATTAAACACGCGTGGACATGCTCGTACGATATCCCTGCCTTCGCATCTTGCATGCAATCGCATAAAAAGGCGTAAGCGCAGGCATTGCACTTCTTGCAATGATTGTTGATCTGAAATAGATGACAGGTGACTATGAAAGGAGAGAAAAGAGCTGCACAATTAACCTTTGAGTCGCATACACAAGACTGCTGTTTAATGTAGTGGACAGCTTCGCCATCTTTTACGGTCCACAGACCGTCTTCCAATACAAGAATAGCTGTTCGATTGCATTTCAAATAATTTGACAGCTATGAGTGTGCGCGATGCTGCTGCGTCAACCGATATCGTCCTTCACGCAGTCCTCTTGCCATCTGTCAAACATATCTATTGAAATTAGAACAAAGGAATTAAGCATAATCAATGTGCAGTACTTTTATCCTGCGATCCTCTTCCATACTCGGCACCAGTGATATGAGGATCTCCAACAATGCATCTATCCTTGTATTTCTTTTCGCCTCAGGAATTTGTGTTCAGGCCTCTTCTGGAATCTTTCTGTAGGCATGCTTGTGCCAACGCACGCATTTTTTCTGGCAAAGCCTCCCCACTGCTGTATGCGGGAGCCCCTGAAAGAAAACTGAGGGCAGAGTACTCTTGCGAACTGTCGATCACTTAAAGTACCACGTTTTCTTCCAAATACTCGATCATATCTTTTTCTCCCTGTCCATTCGAGAAAAGAGAGAAGATCTTGGTACTTAGATTCAAAATCGTTGGGATTCGAGGTCTTGCAAAGCCTTCTTACGGCAACCACAACTGATTCTGCTAGGTTCTTCTGTAAAACAAGGCGAGTTAAGTGAACCAAACATGTGTGCACATACTTGCTCACCTGTTTCAACTTTACCCGACTATTTCTTTTAATAGCTTGAATGATGTGAAATGAACACAGCAACTTTTGAGCTTTCGTATATGGGAAAATTCTGATAAAACCATTGTAAAACGAATTGCAATCATCACTCATGAAAAAATGAGTGTCAAATTCCGGCAGAAGCGCTTTCACCTCCTTAAACATCAAAGCCACCTCGTCTTCGCTCATCCTGAATCAAGGCAACAGTATGTTGTGTATCAATTTTGTATATAAGGAAATAGAGTAATGAGTGATGAATAAAGATACACGAACCGATTGGACAGCAGGTACGCTGCTGGGATGCCTCGATCCCACTCGTCTACGACGATCACACTTGCCAGTCTGAGGCAGTAAGCCGTCAACTTAAAAGTATCGTCCATGCAAAGTGCACGCGTCCCATAACTAGCAAGCCAAGACTGTTGCCATCGGCGTGATTATAACTAAAATGCAGGCCTAGAATGATGGATTTTCGTCTTTATCTTTCCTTCTTACCGAGAGTAAAACCTTCACCAGTTTCGTTGACCGCCGAAGAATAGAATCTAATACCGTCTTCTACAACTCCTTCCTCACACGAAGTTCTACCGACTTCACGTCGACATCATGTCTTCTGGAAGGATCCACCTTGTTCCGAATTCCAATGGTTCTAAATAAAGCACATGGTTCTCTAAGAGAAACAAGAAAACACAACTGAACAACCTTATGTCGCTATAAGAAGTGTAAGTACAGCCGTAAATGTCTGCCTTGATCGCGACATTCCTCTCGAATTTTTTTCAGGATCTGATAAGGTCTAAAGCCTTCTTTTAGGAAGCGACACGATGTACTGCTCGGAATACGCGTCCATTGTTCAAAAGGGCCAGTTCCATTTCATGACCCAATGGGTTCGGCAAAACTTCACATTGTAATTGTTTCCATTTTCGGTAACCTAAATCTTCTACATGGGGTGGTGAGATAACTTTTCGAACGAATTTAGATCTGACACACAAGTACCCTCATGAAGGCAGTGCAATTCTCAATTTCTTTTTTGGAACGAGGGCGTTCATAGCTCTCATATGATGGATATGGTTTTGCTCGGCTGCATGGAAAATATCTTACAGGCTCTGCCGATGAGTTTTGTCGACATACTACCGGAAATCTGGTTATCGACTCACTTTCGATTTGATTTTTCCATTCCTGAAAGTATTGCCAGTTCGAAAATGAGGTCATATACTCTTCCAAGAATATAAATGTAGAAGCAAAAGATAGGATTACATTTGTGACCTAC